CGTGACTTGACAGTATGGAAAACATAACAAGCTAAAGTAAGGGGCCGTTTCAAACGTGCATTTTTGTCAATGCCTTTCTCTTTTTTTCCATAGACATTTAGAACTAAAGAACAACTCATCAAGGACTCCTCATTATATACACAACCTCCAATTTTTCAAGGAAAGTCATGCAAAGTGACCAGTGTTGCCACCCAATAACAGTCACACAGCTCAGTTCAGACTCATGCAGATATTTTGCCACAAAGAGAAATAGATAGCAGGATTGTTTTACACCCCTATGCCATCGTATAAATATAGCACAATATGAATATTCGCCATATTGCAGATGGTGACACCGCAGGTACTTTCACAGAGTCATTGCAACACTGCACACATTTTGTCAGCCGGGAGAAGGATGAGCCCATTCAATCAATAATCAAATATATTGCTTCACTATTAATAACCACTGGGTGCCCGAACACGATTGTAAACACCTTTTGAGTGTGGAGCGAGTCGAGACATTATTTAGAAACAGCCAATAGCAGGAGCGAAAACACCAGGGTGCTTATCAGGGTCTTTGGAGAGACACAGGAAATTGAGTTTGTCCAGTCTAATTATGGGCAGAGTCACGCAGCTCTACAGACGTACCATTTCCCTCCCATTAGCAGAGATGTGTTATTCATGAGGGCAAATCTAGTGTGAACTCTGCTTCACTGATATTCTACATAGTCACTTCTCAGTCTGCCAGGGGACCCGAGCCATTGTGTGTCATTCATTTACTTATCTATTTCCGTTTCTGCACCCCCAAAAAAAAAAACGGAACTTGGTGATGTTGGGGTCATGGGGTCAAACGTGTACGTGTAGAGCTATCAATAGCATCTGTCATATAGACTGTATATAAAAGGTGGACGTAGTCACGGTGCTGTCACCCATTTGGTTTGTGGACTACAGATTTGAAGCCTCGAGTTAGGCATTTTGGCTGTCGACATCTTGTTTTTTTCTGTCATCTTGGGTTTTGGCAACCAGGAGTGACACGAAAGGGTGGAGCAAAGTAGAACCTAATTCTGAATACACGTAACTTTCATGAACTAAGAACATATTGTGAAAGGGTTAAAGTTCTAAAACGAGAACACGGACAACACCCAGACCACACAACGCCGTGGTAGCGGCCTGTCAATTACAAGGCAGCCCGCCCTAAAACATAGTCTGCTTTACTGTCTATTTCACCGTAAATGGGACCATAACCATGATTTACTAAATGAACATCAGGATTTCTTGAAGAAGACTTGAAACTAGGGATTGAGACCATCAACTCAAGTTAACAATGTTTACTTTCTCATATACCTCTCTCTATGCAATCAGACTTCTTCTTGTCACCAGAGGAGTCACCCCCTGCTGGCCATTTGAAAGAATGCATGTTTAAGGCACATCCACGTTGGCTTCACAGTAACCAGTGTGGAGGAGAAGGGGGATGAGGGGTTGTGGGCAGTGGAAGGAAAGCTGCATGGGGAGAGAGTCGGAGGTGAAAGACTTGTAACAAGAGTGTAAATACAGCTGATGGGATAACTGCTCCTTTCCTTTCCAAAAGCACATTATCATTATCACATTCGCTTTCAGAGCTTCTCCTTTATTCTGCCAAATTCCAATAGGCACTATTGGCAGATATATGCTCTGTTGTGTCCAAAGCTATTTATATAATACAATCTGAGCTGAATAGCTCATTGTGTGAGCGCACAATACCTTTCATACACATTCATTTCTTACATTTTCATTTAAGGACAGCATTCCCACACAATACTTATTTTTTTGCTTCTGTGCTGAAAACCAGTCTCCGTATTCAAAGCCCTCTAAACAAGTGTCATTCCGGCTTCTATGTTCGTCACACTGATGTGATCGGCTTTATTCATTCCCAAACATGACGCATGCTTGAAAATGTGCGTCTTGGTGTGTCCACAGAGAGCTTCTACATGTATACATGCACTGATGTACATTTGTGTGAATGCATGTGTGAACTTAGGTTAACATCTAGATTTAAAATAGTGTTTGGAGGTGCAAATACATGGGGTGCTGAAAGTCTCCATGGAGAGTGCATGTTACGCCAGCTTTAAAAGAGAGCACACATGACCTCTGTGTGGCTGAACACAAGAAAAATCCCCCCCATCATTCAATATGCATGCAGAAGAGAGTGTATGAGATACTTTCAGCATCTAAAGAGCATCCACATCATAAATTCATGTCTTCTAAAGCCTCGTCGTAAATCTAGTTAAAATATTTTGTTCTTGAGGGACGGAATAGAGGTAGATATAACACCTTTTATCTGCCATGTCTTTAATGGTTTTCTCTGCAAATTGGGGGGAATTTGGCGAAGCAGTAAAAACATCCATTTTAGAGGAACAGATTAAGCAGGGTAAAGACTCTATTACTTTGTCCTGACAAGCTGAGGAGAGTGAGAGAGGAGAGGAGGCGCATCCTTGTGTCCAACCTGATTAGCAGATCACTGATTCAAATTGTCTCACTATCTAGGCAGCTTTTGCATTCCCATCCCCTGGCTTTCCCTGTGTATCGCACTTATTCCTGTCCGTCTCTCAGCTGCTCAGATCATTTTTCTGTCAGAGGTCTGTTGCCTAATTCTATTGACACGCATGAAGTAAACTGTTAATTGAAATAGTTTAAGACCTCAGAAGATATTTACTGAAAGTGAGAAGATCAGTTCAATGAATGATGGAATCCCTTCCTCGAATTCCTGCTCAGGCAGGTGATTAAAACAAGTATGATTTGATCTTGGAACAAATATCAAAGCAAAAGACGGAGTAGATTTGTTGTATTTTGTGTTCTTCATGGAAATGATTATTCTGTGTGGGTCCACATTCTAATAATATGTGAAATACAGTAACAAATACCTGCATCTCAAGTACCTGGTGGCTGCTGCTTAATGCAAATCTTCCTCAAACAGCAGGAGGAAAATTGACTGTGTCTGGTCTTGCTTATTTGTCTGATACATAAAGCAAAACCTTTATTTCCCAAGAGTAATGCAAAACACTTTCACCTATTTATTCAGTCAGCGGGTGCCACGCTTGATACATCTTTATGGAACTGGCCAACAGAGAGAAAGATTAAGATAAAATGCAGCTGCAGAGCGACAAAGAAAAAGTGAAACATCGGTGTGACAAATCTGGAAATAGCCAGTAACAAAGTTAAGGATCCGTGTACTGATGCAGGGCGTGACGTTAAAATTAAAAGTCGAAATAAAGGCTTATTGTAGTGCTGTCATGGGGTGTCTTGATCTCCAGCTCAAAATATCCCCACAGTACACATGAACCCGCGCTCAGATTCAACCTTTTGCCCGTATTCAGCCGTGAAGAATCACTCCATTTTGTGGGCACATTTCTGGTTTAGGAGGATGCTTGCATTTCCATTGTTGCCCAGTGGCAGGGCTTAACAAATAGGATTAGATCCATGCCCGAGAGAGCACACTCCTGTTCAGGTGACACGCAGCTCCATGCTCCAGCTCTACAACTAGACACAGAGAATTACTGTTAAAGGTCAGTGGAGTCAGACGCTGAATGTCACAGCTTAGCCACAGTTTGGCGAGAAAATACATTAGATAAATACGCCTGTCTCTTGGCGGAGAGTTATTCTGCGGCTCCTGAATTTCTAGCATAAAAGACCCAGAATTACAGGGAGAGTTAAAAGGCAACAGAGGCATATCGATTAGAAGCAGTGAATCAGGCTGCTGTTATGCTGTGACGAATAAATTGAATGGAAGACAGCCAGAGGTTGTCAGATGGAACTTTCATGATGTGCTGTGAGTTGTGCTCATTTTAGATGAGACTGTGGATAAGCCACATCTCCAGTCTCAGGGATCTGGGGAATCATGTCACCGATCAGAAAGCGCCTCGGAGCAGCTTACTACAAGTTGAAATAAGCATTCCACGCCCCATTTAACAACACAAAAAGACTGATCACAGCCTCCGCTCACTGCAAAGTAGTGCCGATGGAATCAGGGAAGGGAGTGGACTCTTAATAGCACATCTCCCTGGTGGCGGAATATTGAAACGGGTGATTCTGAAATAGCTGCATTGGCGTCAAATCAGACAAGAGTGTTGCGACTGGGATCCAATCGGCTTCACAGAGATATCTTGTGATTCACTGGAGCAGGAGTTATTGTTTGCTTTCTTCAATAGACTTTGTGTGGGCCAAAATACGCTCATTGTATTCAGCAAGTAAACTATGACAGAGAGGGTCCATGTGTAGCACTGTGGCACAAGTTGAGCCAATCAGAGAGAGAGCGAGAGAGAGAGAGAATATCACTGTGTAAAAACTAAATACAAAGTAAACTTATGCTGAGCAACACAAAATCAGGATTTAATACGTATTTGCAAAATTGTGACTCAATCCCCTTTTGAATTCTCCTCAGTGTTTACTGATGTGTGACCTGTGTGGTATGACTTCAATGCATACAATAAATTTAAATGTTCAGCCACACTGCAGTAGCAGCGTGGGATGGTAATCAGAGTCTGTGAGTCGTTTGGTCTGTCCACCACTTTGGTCCTGACTGAGATACTGTATATTCAACAAGATTGATTGTCATGAAATTTTGTTCATTCATTTTTTTTGGTTGCATCATTTTGACAGATTTGCTGCAAGTATCAAAAAGTCTCTGAAAGGATAAATTATTTAATGATCCCCTGACTTTTCGTTTAGCCCTACGAGCAGGCTTTCCTTTTTTTTTTTACATTCATCTGTAAACCCGATGGCATTCCCATCAACCTCAGCTGTACTGTGTGTTTAGGGCATGCTAAACTAAGACAGTAAACATGATATCTGCTAAACATCAGCATGTTAGGATTGCCACTGTGAGCATGTTAGCATGCTGATGTTAGCTTTTGGGGCAGGTAAAGCCTCACAGAGCACCTAGAGGCTGTCAACTCTTTGTGTTATTAATATATATTTCTACTCTTCAAGTTTTGATCTAGACAAGGAGGCATTAACTATCTATTTTGTGTGTGCACTCTCTGCAGGCAGTGGGCTGGAGTTCCTGCTGGTTCTCTGTGGGCTCGAGTTTTCCTGGTCCTGCCCCCGTCACTGTATCTGCTACACTGCACCCAGCACCGTCTCCTGTCAAGCCCATAACTTCCTGTCGGTCCCCGAAGGCATCCCTCCCGACAGTGAGCGCATCTTCTTACAGAACAATAAGATCCATCGCTTACTCCGGGGACACTTCAGCTCCAATACGGTCACTCTCTGGATCTACGCCAATAACATCACTTACATTGAGCCGTCCACCTTCCACGGCTTCACGCTGCTCGAGGAGTTGGACCTCGGAGACAACCGCCACCTGCGCTCCTTGGCGGAAGACACCTTTCACGGGCTGAATCGGCTCAATGCGCTTCACCTGTACCGTTGTGGGCTCAGTTCACTCCCTAATAACATCTTCCAAGGCCTCAGAAACCTGCAGTATCTCTACTTGCAGGTACACTAGACTGTTTCGACCACCAACACTCTATTAGGGCTGTCACTTTTCCACAAGAACACATTTGATCACAACTTACGTAGACAAGTTCTAAACTATGTTGTAAAATGAATGTGTTGTTGATTCACACTGCCTCCCCTGCCTTACTTGAGTGACTTACTTGAAAGCTGGCAATTGCATTTTACATCAGCATCAGCAAACAAACCGCACTTCTATCCACACTTTTTCCATCTGTGGTGTCAAATTCTGATTCATAAAACACATTCATAGCATGTAGACACAAGTTATTGTGACAGTAATTCAGCACAATTATGTTGGAATGAAAACTTTGTACAATGTGTAGTCTAATGATTGTACACTCTCTGTATCTCCTCAGGAAAATCATCTGAAGTTCCTGCAGGATGACACGTTTATGGACCTCCACAACCTGAGCCACCTGTTCCTGCATGGCAATCGTCTGTGGAGCCTTAACCAGAACACCTTCAGAGGCCTTCGAGCCTTGGACCGACTGCTTCTGCACCAAAACCAGATCGAGTGGGTTGATCGCCTGGCCTTCCACGACCTGAAACGTCTCGACACCCTCTACCTGTTCAACAACACCCTGATACAGCTCTCCGGAGAGTGCCTGGACACACTGCCCGCATTGGAATACCTGCGCCTCAACGACAACCCCTGGTCATGTGACTGCAAGGCCCTGTCGCTGTGGGAATGGTTGAAGCGTTTTCGAGGCTCCACGTCTTCAGTGGGTTGCCATGCGCCGGCTGATATGATTGGAAAAGACCTGAAGGAGCTGCGTAAGGAGGACTTCCCCAACTGTTCACCCACCGTACCTAATTCTGAGTCCAGAGCCCAGACAAACAATTTATCTGGCACGGTGAATCCGTCCATTAACCGTGGTGTGGTGGTGGGTTCTGGAGGGCAGACCCACATTGTGCACCCCTCAAGGCCTGGCCGCTCTCGGAACTGCACAAAGCCTCGGAACAGGGGCAAGGGGAAGGGTGACAATGAGGTTCACCAGTCAAAGGAGGTCATGGCAGACAAGGAGGATTCCTCCCCGGATTTCACAGACGGGGGCAAACATGACCACACATCCCCAGACGGCACCGTCACACGGAGGAAGCACAAGTGTACTCCCCGGACCACTGTTCGCCCCCCTAGTGGGGTTCAGCAAGCCAACAACAGGGCAACCTTAGCCCAGTCATTACTACATGTCTCTGCCCTCTTTGCGGCCTTGATAACGACAAATATTGACTTCATTCTCCGTTGACCCTCAGAGGGTTTGGAAAATGAAAAGAAAAAAAAAACAGCCCTCAGACCCTCTCCTGCTCCTGCACTACAAGGCCTGTGTGTCTTTTATGTATGTGTGTGTGAGTGTGATTATACGTGTAAATGTAGTGTAGGGAGCTTTACTGTTCAGACTGAAACAGGCATCAAAAGCATCAAACATCTACAACAGAAAGACTCACAGTACAAAAATCAAAGGGACTGAGAGACAGAGAATGACAAAAGATTAATGCACACCAAGCTTGCACTGCCACTTGTGCCAGTATGATTTCATCTGCATATGTCTTGGTACCTGATGTATTTTTTAACATCTGTTTTTCCCTCAACTGGAGCTCAGAAAATAGAGAAAAGAAGGAAGAGATGACGGAGCAAATGAGGTAAACTTGTTTGCTCTAAGACAGATAAGCTATAGGTGTTCAAGTGCTCCATCCAGCTTTAACTTTCAGTTCACAGTTTGTAAATTGTTATCAAGTACTTATGATAAGTCAATGACCCTGTTAGGCCTCCGGCGCCAGTCCGTTTTGCGCTCATCCTTTCTGCCAAATGTATTTTATCCAGACAATTGGGTGTAAGTGTTTCTCATAAACAAAGAGGTAAAGTGTAAGCATGGCAATAAATAGTCGTTCAGTGTCAGACAATGGGAATGTGCCATTAACACAGCAAAATGGAAATCTATAGCCACAGATGTTTTAAGGCTATAAATAGAGCAACCATTAGCTCATACGCTACATGGAGCCATAACAAATTGTAACAACTACTCTCTGCACAATGCTGACCTTTTATAGGTAGTGTACCAACCTTTCTAACAGCATTTCTCATTAGTATTACATTTCTACACACAGCTCTGCATCCATCTTCATTCAAACAACTTCTCTCCCTCTGTGCAATGGAATATTAAGCTGTCAATTGTTTCAAGATGACGAGGACTTGCCGCGCGCTATTTTCATTTGCTTGGAAAACAATGTGTGTGCCTCTGGGAGATAAAGCTGTGAATATTGACGAAGTCTGTCTATATCTTGTGTCAGATGTTGTTCATTTGATTTTTCTAAGACACAAAGTGGACCTAGAGACGGATCCCTGCTGCAGGGCCGACAGGAGCTTTAGAGGTGGAGGGTCAAAGGGGTGGTTTCTCAGTTTCCCGGTGAGGTTGCGCTGAACTGAACTGATCCCTCCTCATTGAGAACGTGAGGAATCACTCAACGTCAAAGGAATACAAGACTCGAGGAAAAGAATGTGCGTGTAACATCAATGACTTAATAGAACATAAAAAGGAGAATGAAGGGAGCATGGTAAAAGGAGGATCGTGCAGAGAAAGTGATGCCACTTAATTAACTGATGTGATTGTCCATGGATGTGGGGATCCAAGACAATTGCCTCTGAAGTATCAAGAGTTTGCAGTACAATGCAGGTCAACGGATGGACAATTGCGGGACGTCTTGCTGTACTTCTGGAGCTTTTGTGCCTCCCTTAAATCTACCGATAAGATGGTGTTTGTATCAATGTGAACTATACCAGTACGAATGGAGACAAGAGGACTTCTTGCAGTGCTGATATTAATCATTTACTGTATTACTATGAGAAAAAACAATATCAGTGGCGTTGATGATGATAACAGGGTTTTCTGCTCCTCCTGTCAGGAGGAGTCTTTCGATTTTTGATTTTCTGGTGATTCGTTTATTTACGTATTTTCCATGTTATATTTTTAGAGCCTTTTATTTGTTAATGCACAATTCCTCACCTCCCTATTTCTTGTTCTACTGTATGCCTATTCATCTTCTTTCTTTGCCATAATTCAATTGTTCTGTAAGTTATCATCAGAAAACAACAGTACAAAAATGTTTATAAAGATATTAAAATCTATATCTTCTTATGTCTACCGTTGCAGTCTGAGTCTGTTTATTGCTGTATTTAAGGTTTTATAGGCTTATTAAGAGAAAGTAAAAGCCACGCTCGATCTCCTCTTCTTGCCTTTCTTTCCCTTTAATTAATTTAATGCCAGCAAATTTAGGTGTTTTTTTCGCACTGTTTCCCCTCTATCTTTGCTCTGGTTTGCATTTTGTCTCCCCTGACCAGACCTGCTGGCTAAACTAAAGCTGCTTCTTACAAACAGATCCACTATTTCTGTACACATAGGATTTATGTACAATAGACAATGTAAAAATACAAGTGAAATGTTGGCTACAAATGGGGAAAAAGCCCATTTTATCAACAATATACCGAAGTTCCTGAACAACAGGAAAAAAAAGAATTCCAAGTCGACATGCAGACTGTGGTGTGATCTATTGCAGCTCAATAAATCATTTAAAACCACTGAAGATATTAATGAAAGTGTCACACTGAATCTGTAGATATTCCAGGCTATTATTATTATTAATGGCCCTTTAGAACATAAATTCTATTTCCTCTTCTTTAAATTCCCTTCACCGAGATAGAAATTGATCCACGAGTAAGTGTTCCATTTTACTTTTTTTTTCATAATTGTGTTAAATGATAAATGAGCACAGAAGCAGAGGTTGTATGCATGGATGAGAGTGCGGTGTAGCTATATTGAAACTGGCATGTTAGATGCCCATCTAGATTTTAACCCCCTCCAAGGCCATTTGAAACACCCACCTCAACTACTCTTACTCTGCATCGGCCAATGGTTTTTAATTTTCCTTCACATAACTTAATAATCATTATTTTTGGTTACAAGATTAAAGATGTTATTCCTGGAGAAGCCCTGAAAGTGTGAAAATTAAACAACTAAATGAATAAAGCTACATTCAATTTCATATTTGTTTTGGCCAGAACCCAAAGCCTACACAAATCTTGCCAATTGTCCAGTTTTGATGGTGATGATGATATACACAATTAAAGGATTTTTCCACCATGACAAAAAAATATCTAGTTTTGTTTTAATGCCAAAAACGCTTCAAAATATATATCAATAATGATCAAGTCCAAAGTCAGCTTGGTTGATTTTCCTGTTTTCCATGTTTGAGTGAGCTGAGTGAGATGTTAAATGATAAACAGGAAAAAATGAGGCATCCCTGCATCCATTTGTAACTATTTGCAGGAGCTGATGGGGTGTGGATTTTCTAATAAGCTTGTTCACATGCACACAAACATCCATCACTGTAATTTAGGTGGAAAAAAATAAAACATGCACTTAGTAAAGTGAAGTGCATAAAACTTCATCAATCTGAGAATAAACATGCTTATTTGCTGTGTTAAATGGAACGTTTTCCATTTTAATATGGCTATTTACACTGACTGCAGGTTAAATTAAAGGCGAGACTAACATTGCGGGAAATTGTTTCAAAGAGATTAATTTTCATAAATGATGTACTGACTCTTTTCAGGGAAATTTGAACTTCCTCATAAGCTCCTTAGGTAAACTGCTCGACTTGCTGAATTGAAATGTATTCTTCACCTCCAGATAAGTATGAATGATGATTTATCTCAACTCAATGTCATTTTACAAGCTTTTCATGAGTCTTTCTTGGAGGACACGTGACTACACCTGAGCAAGTTCTATTCACTGATAACAACCGTGACCTTTGGTTGAAAGAGCTCATCACTCAGCATTCAGTCGCTCATGTCCAGTGTCCTTGCCGTGTTCCCTCCAGCTACACATAATGTCTTACACCACTCCACTTTTCCTCTTGGGGGTTCAACATTTTGGGAAATACTCTTCTTCAGTCTCTTGCAGAGAGTTAGATGTCACTCTCCCATCTGTCTGCAATGAAACTACAACCAGCAGATGGTTAGCTTAGCTTTGAATAAAGACTGTAAACAGGGGGAACAGCTAGCATTGCTCAATACAGAGCATAGGCTGCACACCAATCTGAGTCCAACCTATAGACCACCTCGGCCCTCCCACGGATCCCAAACAATATATACTATATAGTACTTATTGACATTGTAATATTCAACGATCTAAGCGTGACCACAGACTGAGAGTTAAACCCCAGAACTCCACCCTTGAACCGCCTAACTAGGAAGAGACCAACGTTTTTGACCAGGAGCCCGTGCACTACCCCCATATAGGACAACCTGTTACCATGTGACTGGCCTTCCGTTCACTGATAAAGATTATGAGATGTATTCGAAAGCAATAACAAAGCTAGAAAGGGGACCTTGAGGAAAAATATTTCATTCAACTGTTTGTAAATATAACCATTTTCATATGCAAGTATAACCTTTTGAAAACTAAACAATAATGACAATTTGACCTTTCATTGGCTGTCATTGTTCATGATTGTTAACTCTGCAAATGCTAGAGACTCATTAGTTACAAAATATCAATGTATAATATAATATAAGCTCAGCAAGCTTTTCCCGAGCAAATGACATAACATCTGTTTTTATTAAAACGCTAATTACACTAATTGTTGGACTAATGAAGAAGCAGTGAATGCGGATGAAAACCTGGAAATAAATGGCACGGTTGCGATCATTTCCAGCTCAGAGTTATCTTGTAGGTGGAGAGTTTTACACTGAATTGTTTGATTTTCCTCAACTTTGGGGTAAATTAGTATCTGACTCACAGACTCTCAGCTGACTTGACCCAGTTATTTGGAAAGCACATCAAAGGCTGGCATGTAATTGTGATTGTCTCATTGCAAAAGGAGGAGTGATCAGCGTACAGTGAGGACCCAGTTCAGCTGGCAGGTCCCCTGTGCAAAAACAGGTATGACACCGACTGCATCGTTAGAAGCTGGAGCCCAAATGCTGCTGCATAATTGAAAGGTGGGATGAGGAGAAGTATCAAAATGTGGAAGGTGGTATCATTAAAGGAGCAAAATACAACATTCAGAGCAGCAAACAATGCAAAGATATAGTGGAGTAATATCTACCAGAGGGAAATCGCTCTCCCTCTTCGCCCATACGGTGGTTACAACTGATGAAACCGTCCCGACCGATGGCGTCGGCGCAGAAGCGTATAGCACCCACCTCCAGTTCCCCTTCAGGTAAACACTTTTAGCTCTGTCAGTACTTTTACCGTTGTTTGTGCCGTTAGCAAGCACTGTTTGCTGCGAGCCGTCTCCATCTTGAGAGCCGTTGAGGCGCAACTGAAATGCTCCCAATCTTGAATCATGCCTCTTTAGGAAAATGAGAGAAGCAGAGGGGTAGAGGGAGGCTAAAAAAAGCACAGAAGCAGTGAAAAATTAAATAGGTGTTTGATGCGTCAGAATTCTCCAGGAGTCTTTGTATAAATATACCATGTATGCATCTACAAAAATAAGCATCACAAGGCCCTCATTACAATTCCCCACAACGAACTACGGGCCTCCCAATATAGCATCAGCATGTGTGATTTCACATCACTTATTCATGCAGGAGAGAGGCAGCTTGTTGATTCATCCTTAGGCGTTATAGTATTGTGGGAGGCAGCAATGCTCTCTGACAGAAATACCCCTCCAAGAAAATGCCGCCTTTGACTATCTGTGCCCATTTCCTGGCTTTTAACTGACTCACTGTCGCTGCTGTGTGGCTTTAATTAAAACCAAGCAATTAGAAAATTGAAAAGGAGATGAAGAAAGTGGGAGAGCTGGGAAGAGAGACGGCGCACTGGGGGATATGATAATTAAGAGCAGGCACACCACAAAATGCCTCCACATCTAGTGTGACTCTCCATTCCCTCTCCTTCTTTGAGTCCCACTCTCCCAACTCAATCACAAAGCTAATATCACCTCTTTCTCCATAAAATCCTTTCTTATTCCAGCTCTTTTATTTTGTCTATTTATTTAGCTTAAAATCCCCCCCCCAGAGCGGTGGCGTGCTCCAGTTCTCCAAACCAGCCAGCCTGCATAATAAACTGAGAGGACTTGAGCAGCCCAAGGCCACATCACGACCCGCATGGATTGGTTCGCTAATCCTCTCGTGTTTGACCTCAAGTCAGACAGAATATGCAGAAAAATTACTCAAAGTCAGCATGGCATGTTTCTCCATAACAATACATCTAGGTTACTTTTTTTTTTTTTTGGTAAAGGTGGAGGAGGGAGGGGCTGGTTAGTGCAGTGTTACTTTTCATGAATCACGTTTTCCTGTTGCTGATTTCCCAGTGGAGAATGCTGAGTGCTCTGTAGTGCCCGTGGCTTGAGCTGATTCACTAGGAAACTTGTGACTTGAGCTTTCTATAAATCAAAACTCCTTTATTCAAACTTGGGACTTTTTTTTGCCATAAAAGTGTACTCACCAAATTACTTTTTTTTTTTTTTTTTTTTTTTTTTTTTTTTTTTACAAAGGAGACCCTCAGGGAAGGAAACAGACCATTAAAGCAGGTTGTTAGTGAGGTAAAGTTTTAGCCATGACAACAGTTGATTGGGAAAAATTAAAGATGCCCTGGATGTCTGCTGGGAGTTGTTCAGAGGTGAAGAAATCAGATGTTTAGAGTGGGTTTCTCTCCTTAATAAAGACAAGAGAGCCAACAGTGATTGGTGAATAAAGACAGATAATGAATCGTTATCTAATGATTAGTTCATGAATCACATGTTAGGCTTCAGAGACCTGAGCTCGTTCAAAAAAAGCACACCAAGTGAGTAAAGACAGCAAAGTGGAGACATTTCGGGGTAAGGCCTCAGAAATGTCTGCAATAATCCTCATTGCACAGGAACGAACAGGAACTGGGTCTGCTGTGATGGATGTGTACAACAGACAGTTATGGTTATGAATATACCATTCACCATTGTTTTCCCTTCCAAATAAGATTAGCTAATTTGGAGATTTGTTTAAAACCTGTTTGATTGCCTGACCACACATTTTTAGCAATGTTGTAGGGTTCTCAGATTATAGCCATACTTGGTATTTAATGATGGCCAATGAATTAAATCTTAATTCCCCTTTAAGACAGATGCACTTTTCTGTTTCTCCCATCGAGCTCACGTCCC